CCAACTCTGCGGTATGTCCGAGACAAGCCGGGAAAGCGCCCCAGCAACCGTCACTGCTGCATGTAACCGGGTGGCCCACTCTGCCGCCCAAGGCCCAGCCCAGACCCCTACCCCTCGGGCTCTGCCGGCCCCAGGAAGCAGGCAGCAAGCCGGCTCTGCACCGCCCCCGACCAGCTGGGTGACCCCATCACTCCGCCGCTCTGGGCCTGGGACCCACCTGTAGGTGCGGCAGCGGGCCGGGGGCTGGCGGGCCTGCCCCAGACAGTGCAGCCCCAGCAGGGAAACCACCACTGCCATCTGGGACACAGCGCGCCCTGGCGTGCGCACGGGGTTGGGGGCAGGGCCGGTGTCAACAGTCACATCCTGTGCTGCGGCCAGTTCCGGGGCCAGGGTGCCCATCCTCGGTTTCACCACCTGGCAGTGCTCCTCCCCAAGTGCTCCGAGCCGGGGAGGTGGGAGATGAGGGGCGTCAGAGGCGGGGGAGGGGCTGCGCTGACCTGCAGACCCTCCACAGCGCACCCCCAACGCAAGACAGGAAAAAGGATGTGGGGCTCACCCCGTGGGCACGCCGTGAGGCTCCAAGACTCAGAGCAGTCCTGGCCCCCTCCCCAGCCCTGTGGCCTCAGAATCTGCATTTCCTGGCAGCGAGGGGAGCTCGTACCCCTCAGAGGGGGGGAGCCGAGCCACGAGCACACGTGTGCTGCTTGAACACTTAAAAACACAGGCCCGAGGAAATAATCCTGGTGAGTGAGGGGTGGGTGAGGAGCCCTGCCCACAGCCTGTCCTGCAGAGGAGGCCAGGCTGGGAGCTCAGGCCCCCGTAAGCCCAGAGCCTGGATGGGAGGCGGAGGACAAGCAGGAGGGCTCCTGCTCTGTGGGAACGCGCCCAGCCCCCAACCTCAGGGCCTCTCCACAGGGTCAGACTCGGCTCCACCGTCTCCCGGACCCAGGTCCTTGCTCAGACTCCATGTCCCCATCTGCAAAACGGGGTGACCTGCCCCCCAGGCTCACGAGAAGAGGAGGACCACCCCATGGAAACCTTAGAACTGTGCCTGGAGCTCAGAAACTGTCCCCTGGGAGGGGCTCACTGCCTCATTCTGACCCTCTAGTCCATGGTACCCAAGACACCTCCACCTGCCCCCCTCCCAGCCCCAGTATCCTACATCCCTTCCCTGGGATGAAGTCCAGCTGCGTCCTGGGGTCCAAGTTCTTCCCCCATCGCCCATGTGTGGCTGGCGAAGGGCCGGTGGGGGAGGCTGGCTCAGAGCAGGGGCTTAAATGATTGTTGAGTGGCTGACTGGGTCCTCAGCCCACCACGGAGGCCACCCTTCCACTGCCCACAGGCCCCCGCTGGCTCTGGCCAGTGCAGGGGTCTCCTGCATCCCTTCCCTGGGCTGAGCCCGTTTTCCAGACGAGGAAGCTAAGGTCCACCAGCGTCTACCCAAGGCCCCGGAGTGTCCACTGGCAGGGTCGACACAAGACTTTCCACAGGACTTGTGACACACAGCCAGGACAGGGCAGGGAGGTGGCACATGCCAAAGGGCTACTGGGGATTCGGACACACCTACTCAAGACCCCCTCCCAGAGACATCCTGAGGAGTTACCAAGGCCTGGCGGCTGGGCCAGCTGGCTCCAGCGGCCGTGTCCCCGAGACACTGTAAACTCAGCCTCTGCTCACAGCCCTCACTGACCCCTCCCCAGCCCAAAGACCCCCAGGGCCCCCTCACTGGCCCACCAACAGCCCCTCCCTTGATGTCTAAGAGGCAAATCCCATCTTCTCCCGTCCCTGCTGAAAACCCTCAGATACCCAGCGGCCCCTGGACGGCCCTCCCACCTGCGACTGGCCCAGACACTGGACGCTGCACCCCCAGCCCCTCCCTGGCTAGACCAACACACCCCTCAGCCTTTGCTGCATTGTTCCTCAGGCCCTTTATGGCATCTCTCCCTGTCTCTTTTTTGCTATGCCCAAATATATCTTAAAGGAGGAAAAACACAGTGAATGCATTTGTTGCAAAGAAGACACAAACCCAAACCAAACCCCGTGGGCTCCCTGGACAGTGAAGGGCAGACCTGCCCTTGAATGGCCGCATCTCCAGCCGACCCCCCCTCGCACACTGAGGGGAGCAGGGCCTGACTCAGGTGCTTCCCCCGCCCAGCCCGCATGGCCAGCAGGGTGAAGAATAAGCCTCTCTTGTTAATCTTTTATCAGGAACCTTGGACCACAGGCCCGCCCCTCCCATCCTCCCTCCTGGAGACCACGCTGCCCTCAAACCCTGACCTCGCCTGCGGGGGCCCCAGGTAAATAAGTTACCTTTCCCATTTCTGCCAGAGGAACACTGGAGATGGGGGAGGCAGGCCGCAGGGACAGCCTATCGTGGGCCTGGGTCTCTGCACCACTGGGGGGTTGCTTCTTGCTCTGAGTCTGTTTCCCCCAAATGGAGAGGGAAACCTGAGGAGGAGAGTTTAAAAGGGTGACCTGCACACACACAGGTGTTCTGTGGAGGGTGGGACCCCCCGACCCCAGCAGGGGGCAGCCACACGTGGGAGGCCCACAGCCCTGTGTGTCTTCAGGCAAGACGCTCGCCCTCTGGGAGCACGTCTCCTCTCCCCGTGGAGGGCGGGCCGGACCTCGGCCACGGTGGAGACGGGTCACCCAGGGACTTCCCTGGCGGCTGGCAGGCCAGCTCACACCAGCGGAATACAGTCTTCCAGAGCAGAACCAGGCTGATTCCCACCCTCTCAGGGGAGAACATCGAGGCTCTGCCCGCACCTGGAAGGAGGCCGAGCTGGCCTCGGGGGAATAGAGGCTACATCTGGATTCCCACGGCGTGCCCCGAGCCTCAGTCTCCCCTCTGTGAAGGAGAGGGCGCAGGTCAGCTGTACGGCAGGGCCGGAGGAGTGCTGCCCAGGGCACACCCTCACCATCCTGGGTCCTCCTGCTGCCCCCTTCCAAGGCCCCTCCTTCAAGGCCTTCCAGAGGTTGGGGGGGTCACCTCCGGCTGCTGGAACCCTGTGTCCCTCCTACAGGGCTGCGTTCCTACACAATCTCCCCCATCAGGGAGTTGCTGGAGCTGCCCTGGGACCAGGGCCAGAGCCAGCAGGGGCCTGTGGGCAGTGGAAGGGTGGCCTCCGTGGCGGGCTGAGGACCCAGTCAGCCACTCAACAATCATTTAAGCCCCTGCTCTGAGCCAGCCTCCCCCACCGGCCCTTCGCCAGCCACACATGGGCGATGGGGGAAGAACTTGGACCCCAGGACGCAGCTGGACTTCAACACCTACCCTCAGGAAAGCAGAGTATTGTGTCCGTTCTACGACTGCAGCAAAAACACCCCCCACTGCTATGTTTTAGGGAGTGCCAAAGTGTCTCCAAAAGACCCCACACACATCCCTTCACAGCCCCACAGGGACAAGAGGGCACCCATTTCACAGCTCAAAAGACCGGGGCCATGGGGCCGGGGAATGGTGGAGTCTGGATGGACATGTTACCCGGTAGCAGAACGACCATGGCCAGGGTGGGTGCACAAGCCACCCCCCCCCACTCTGCCTGGCCTGTCCACAAGCCTGGGGGCAGGTATACAATGTCCACCACTTAGCACATGGGGAAACTGAAGCCCGAGGCAGAGAGACACATCGCAGTCAGAGGGGGCTTCCGACCCAAATGCTGGAGGAGGACTCAAGGGCTGGGAGCGCCCCCTCCCCAGGGCTCTTGTCCGGGAGAAGGCTGAGCTGTAGCTGATCAGCAGGGGTGGGGCAGGCCAGAGGGCAGGGACTGGCCCCTGAGAGCCCTCCCCACGCTGAGTTCTCAGCAGTCTTTTGTATGCAAACACAGCAGGGCCCCACCACCCCCCTGAGCAAGTCCCTCCACCTCTTGGTCAACACCCAGCTTCGCAGGCAGGCAGCGCTGCAACAAAGCCACAGGGTCCTCCGGAACAGGAGCAAAGCAGCGAATTCGGGAGGGGGTGGGGTGGGAGGGAGTCAAAGAAAATACACCCACCCCACCCAGCCAGGGGCAGGTCTCAGCTCCTGCTTCGCAAAGCTGAGCACCTCTGTCTGCTCTGCTGGCAACTTACCTCCTTGGGCCTCAGTTTCCCCACTGGAGAACGAGCTGCCCGCCAGGCCCCCCGCCCCGCGCCGGCCCCCAGCGTGGCAGGTGTCCTTGTTTTAGGCCTGAATGGCTGCTCCACCAGGCCCACCTTCCACGAGTGCGAAGAGCCCAATCCTGCCCCTGGCCTGGGGCGCAGGTGTGCAGAGACCCTCAGGCTCAAGGGGGAGGGGCAGCGTCCACTAAAGTGAGGCTCTGGGAGATCTGGTTCTGCTTCTACAAGGGTTAGGCTTTAGACGCGTTCATGCAGCAAGGCCAGCTCTCAAACCCGGGCCTTCGGAGGGGTGTCCTACACCCCAGCCAAAGCACGACGGTGAACCCTCATCAAAACCCTCTCGAAATCAGTCACGAAGTAAGCTAACTGCCCGCCCACCCTCCTTCCGGACACCTCGGGCCTCGTCCCGGGCCTGGCAGCCGCGGGACCTCGGGCAGGCTCGCTCTCCAGGCTCAGTTTCCCCACCTGTGAAGTGGGGTTGGGGGGCCATCCAGGAGCACGTCCCCGCAAAGACAGGCGGGTTCCCCACGTCCGCCGCACCGGCTTCCCCGGCACCGAGCCGGCCGCGCCGGCGGAGGGGGCGCCGCACCGGGAGAGGGCGCGCACCTGGGCGGGTGGGCGGCTGCGCGCCGCCGCCTGGTTTCGGACCACCTGCAGTCGGGCTTCGGCTTTGCTGGGGCGCCGGCTGGGCCGGCCGAGAGGGTCGCGGAGGCTCGTTCTCGGGCGGCTGTCCGGCTGGGGGCCGTCCCGGACCCGGCTGTGCGCCCCTTCTCCCGGCTGTGTGCTCTTGCCCCCGCGGCTGTGCGCACCCCCTCCCCGCCTCCGCCATGCCGCCCGCCTCTCGGCTTCCCTGTCGGTGAAATGGGTGCAGAGCCCCGCCCGTGGCCCGCAGTCCCAGCGCTCACCTGTGCGGTTCCCCGGGGCGGGCTCCGCGTCCCCTGCGCGCTCCCCGGGCCTCGCCCTACGGCGAGGGGTCGCGGCCGCCCCGGGCATCCCTGCGCTCGGCGGTGCTCTGCGGGGACTGCGGGGCCCGAGCCCGAGGGGCGGGGCAGTCCTGGACACGCCCTCCAGGGGCCCCGCCCCATGGGTCTGGGGGCGGGGCCGGCCCCGCGGGAGCCCCAACCCCCAAGGGGCCAAGCTGGCTGTGCAGGAAGTCTCGCTCCACGGCCTTGCACGGGCTTTGCCCTCGGCTCCCGCCCCTGCGAGCACCCCGGTCCCCCAGGCCAGGTGTCTTCCGTGAGGGGCACATTGGGACCCCATCTGTGTCACCGTAGGCCAGGCCCTCTGAGCTAGGGGTCCTAGGTCTTCACTGAGGAACTCCGGGTGCTGGGGGCAGATTCAGACCCCTGGGCTCTGGCTGTGCCCCCACCTACACACCCGGGGGACCTGCCCTCTCCTGGCTCGCCCCCTCCAGCTCAACTCCCTTGGGTCGTGGTACCGGGCTGGGTCCGGAGCTGCGGCCCGCCCCTTCCTCACCCCAAACACCGCCCAACCCAGGCACAGTGCCCTGCCCTGGCAACCGCCCAGGGGGCTCTCCTACCATTGACACAGGAGCTGAGGCAGCTCTGGGTGGCTCAGGGCTGCTGCTGAGTAGACTTGTCGCCCTGCAGAGCAGGGGGAAGCTTCCTTAGCCGAGAGAACAGCAGATGCAAAGGTCCTGAGGTTGGAATGTTTTGGAAGCTTGAGGAACAGCCAGAAGTCTGGTGGCTGGCTCAGGAAGTCTGGGAAGGTGGCCCAGGTGGACAGGACTGGCTCTGGAGGGCCTGGCAGCAAAGAGGTGTTCTCCTGGGACCACAGAGTAGTGTTCCAGCAGAACAGTTCCCCCACCCCACCTGCTCTCCTAGCCCAGTAGAATACATGAGGGGCATGCCCCTATCCTGGGTGGGAGTTGCTTTCACCCCATAATATCTCCTCCCCACTTCAGACCGGTGAACCACACATGAGTTCTTCGATTCCCTTGACCAAGCAGGTGTTTCCCATTTGCCACATTGGGAAGCCAGGTGAGTCCACAGGGTTCCCTCCAGACCGTGCTAGGGGCCTGGAGCCCCAGAATTCCCTTCCAAATGCCCCCCAGCCCATCTCCAAGGCTTGCACACAGGGCTGGGAGGAGAGGCGGGATGGCTTCCAGTAGCCCAAAATGCAGAATTGAGCCTGGCCACTTAGGGTGTGTATGTTTTCTGGGGCTGCTGTAACAGGGGGCCACGGGCTGAGTGCCTTAGGGCAACAGCAATGTGCTCTCGGGGTCCTGGGGCCCTGAAGTCTAAGATAAGGTGTCAGCAGAGCCTCCCCACCAAGGGCGCCAGGAAGGATCTGTTCCGGCCTCTCTCCGGCTTCCCACAGTTCCTTGGCTCATGGCAGCAGCGTTCCAGACTTCATGTGGCCGGCTGTCCCTTTGTACGTTTCTGTCTCTGTGCCCAAATGTCCCCTCTTCTATAGGGACACTAGTCTTACTGGATTATCGTCAGCCCTTTTGACCTCACTGTAACTTGGTCACCTGGAGAAAGATGCTGTCTCCGAACACTGCGTGTTCTGGGGTGCTGGGAGTTAGGACTCCTGCACTTGACTTTTGGGGGTGGGGTGGGCACAGTTCAGCCATAACAGATGGTATCAAGGTCGGGGACAGACATTTTTCTTGGTGTGTGGCTTGGTTGTGTGTTCTGGGTGTTCAAGCATGTGGTGTTGGACAGCTAGGGGCGGCCGAGGACCTCTGCCACATCCCATGGGAAACCATGTCCCTCGTCACGGGCCAGGGCACCCATTGCCACCAAAGCCGTCTCCACAAGCAGGAGGCACTGGGGCACTGGGGTTGGTTCTAGAAGTGAATCCACGGCCGATAGGAGCCACGAGCTGGGCTGCCCCGTCCACCGTTTCCGGGGCCTCTTGGAGAGCCCAGCAACACTAACTGTGTGCAGGGAGGGAAACTGAGGCCCAGGGGGGAAGGCACTTGGCCCACCTCAGATGACCAACTGCCTGGAGCACCCCCACCCCGCCCGACACCTCATGCCCCCATGTGGGGCGGGGACCATGGCGCTAACGGCCTTCCCCCCATGCCACGGCCCTTAATGTTCTCATCTGAGGGACAGAGAAGGTTGCGCCACCCTCCTGATACCACGGAGGCTGTGACATGATCCGTGACAGACCTGTGCCGTGGAGGGGGCCACACAGGCCCCACCGGTGTTTGCACTTACTCCCCTCCCCACCTGCCCCGGCTCTCCCGGCTGCTCAGGGCCCCAGGCTCCCCGTGTCCTGGCCCAGACTGGGAGCAGTGCCTGGACTGTGCCCGGCCGTGTCTCTCTGCCCTCGGGCGGCAGCCTCCTCCTCCAGGAAGCCCTCCCTGCTTACCTGCCCCTACCAAGCCGGTCTCTGTGGGTGGGACCTCAAAGCCTGTACTGTGTCTAAAACAGAGAGGACTGTGCCACCCCCTGTGCCAAGATGAGGCCAGGAAGGAACTTGTGGGTGGCTGCTGGAGAGGCAAGAAGAGCCCAGCACAGAAGCCTGAGGAACTGATTGCAGCCTTGGCCTCTCTGCGTTTGGGGTCTGGCCCGCACCCTACTACCTGCTCCCCGTCTCAGTTTACAGCTGGGAGCAGACAGTATGCTAGAACATTTGTGCAACGAAGGACCTCGTGGAAAGGAACCAGGGAGAGGAGAGCCATCTGAGGCCCTGGTCTCAGTGTTCTGCTCTGTAAAGTGGGCCCACACACATGCTGCTGTGAGAAATGCCAAGGGGATGTGAGGGTCTACCCTGGAGGTCCCCTCTTCCCGAAGGGCTGCCCCAGGTTGACTGACGTGTCCCTGGGCGCTGGTGGCCTGGGGCACGGGGGACTGTGCATAAGCCTGGTGGGGGGCAGGGGGGGTCATTTGTGTGTTTCCCTCAAATCGGATAATAACTGTAGAAGGGCTAAATGCTTTTTGTCTTTAAATATTCCTGATTATTTTGCTTCTACTCAATAGAAACATGAGATTTCCATCCTAAAAACCTCTCACAATGGACCAAGTCTGGAAAGTTCCATCCAAGTTGGTAAGAGTTAAGGAAGCAATGTGGCCTCACGGGCTTGCCTTTTTTTTTTTTTTTTTAATTAAAAGCAATTTTCAATAAAGTAATCTGAGCCTGTAGCTCCAATGAGCTGAATGTGTGGGGAGGACTTTTCCCACAATGGCACCCTCGTGCACACGGGCCCTCCAGCTGCCCCAAGGGAAGGCGGCAGCCTGGTTCCCTTCTGCAGGTGAGCCCCTGCCTGGAGCCCGCTCCCTGCCAGGGCCCGGCTCTCACTGCCCGGCTGTCCTCCCCGGCCAGTGGCCTGCACACACCAGCTTGCCTGGGCCCTCAAGAGGGAGAGCGGTGGGTCCCCCAGGTGACATCGAGCTGCCGCCCACAGGTTCACAATGACGGGGACGATCCAGCAAGGCACCTGGGGGGAGACAGGCCTCAGGGCCATGTGCTTCCCTGGAGGGCGAAAGCAGGCGGTGGACACACGAGACTAGATCCCATCAGCCCCTCGTGGGCGCCAGGTCTGCGCAGGAGCTGGGACACAGCGAGCACGGGAGGGACACGGCCTGATGGGCTCCTCTGTCCCCACCTCTGGGCTGCAGGTCACTGTTTGCTGCCCCTTGACTCTGCTTTGTGCCATCTGAAGTTTGCAATAAGCATGAATCCATTCTCTAATCAGAAAACAGGAAACTAGTAAAACGTTTAAGGCTAGGACACCTACAAAGGATTACACACATTCACAGGACAGTCTGGATCCCACTGTGAAAAGATGTGGGAGACCCTCGTTTACAGATAGGGAAACTGAGGCACAGGGGAGGGTGCTGTCCCGTCCAGGGCCACACACCACGATGAGAGGGTTCCGGGCCCTGCCGGGGGCGGAGGCTTGTCTTCACAGAGCCCAGGGCTCCTGGGTAAGCCGAGCAGTGGCAAGCACACAGGAGGGTCAAGGGCAATCCAGGGGCTTAGCGCTCATGAGCCAGCTAAGCTTCTTGGAGGCCTGCACCTGCCCAGTGAGTCTCCAGTCACCAGACAAGTGTGAGAGCCTGCCCCCCACCAGGGGCTCCCAGCTGGCCTCCCAGCACACGCCCAGTGCCCAGGGGCCCCCACCGGGCCCCCTTGTCGCCCTGTGGGTGGCCTTGGACGAGCCCCGCCCCTCTCTGGCCTCCAGTCTGGTCCCCACCTCACCCAAGCCACGCCTGCCAACGCTCAGAGCTCTCCTGCAGGCACCTCGGAGGCCAGGCCTGGGGAGGCATTTCTGGGCCCGCTTATAGAGCAGCCCCTCATGAGGCCTGGCGTCTGGCCAAGGCCATCCAAACGGACAGATCAGAGCAGTGCTGGGAGAGCTCTCATTTCACAGATGGGGACACTGGAGCTGGGAGGGAAGGGTCTGCCCCTTCAACACAGCTCATCCCAGACCTTCACGCCAAGGCCCAGTGGCCAGGGACTGACTGACTGGCTCTCTGTGCCTCTGTTTGCATAATGCGTGCGCTAGCACTCCTCCTGCCTGGGCTGAAGGGCCGACAAGATGTGCCGTGCCGCTGAGCATGTCCAGCATGGGAGGCCCACGGTCGGGGCCAGTAGGAGGGGCTCCGCGTCCCCGCCGGAGAAGCAGGTCTGCCGGACAGCAGAGAGGCAAGGGGCTGCGCACCTGCTCTCGCCCCCTTACTCTCTGCGCCAACAGCCATGCTTTCCAGTGACCATCTCGAGCACTTGGCTGTCTTCATTTTATGGGTGAGAGACAGGCTCAGGCCTGTGAGCCCCACAGTTTGCTAAGGGGCTGCCCTCGTCAGCTACAAGAGACAGAAACCCAGCATCAGCCCAGGGGCGATGGTGAGGACTTCCGAGGGAGGCGCCTGCGGGAGGTCCCTGGGCAAGTGGGAAGAAGAGCAGACGTTCTCCATCCTGGGAATCCACGACCGCGGCTCCCTCCCCCAGCACGGCTCCTCCCTCCCACTTTCTGGGAAAAGTTACTGATACTCAAGCACGCGAGCGGGCCACGTCCC